GGAGCGCTGCTCAAGGTCACGGCGCGCGGGGATGCCCGCGGCGCAGCGCCTGGGCGCGCTCCTGGGGACTGTCGGGCTTCGCCGGCGCGCCCCGGGGATCGGGAGGGCAGGCGACCGCGGCCGGGCTTCGGCGACCCCGCGCCCCAGCTCCGCTCCGCGCCCCGAAGAGGCGGCTCCGGGGGGCTCCGGGTCGGGGCCCCCCCCCCGGGTCGAGGGCCCCCGGGGAGTCACCTGCCGGGTGCTCGGCGTGCGGCTCTCCCTGGCGTCCGAGCGCGCGAAGGTGCATCGGCTGGGAGTCGCCGGGGAGCCGCGCACCTGTGCGCACATGCAGGTGGGCACGCGCGCTCGAGAGGGAAGCCCCCGCGCAGTGCCCTTGCCAGAGCAGAGGCCTCCAGCTGGTGGCCCCCGAGATGTTCGGCTTGCACCCCCAGCAGCCGGAGCTAGCGTAGCCCGTGGATCATGGAACACGGGAAGCTGTCCTGTGGACTCTCTCGGGCAGCACGGGGAGGGCGGGGGTCCTTCTTGCGGGCTGCTGCAGCCGCGGTGTGCCGGTGATCTCCCCTTGCTATGGGGAAGGAGCCGCGGGCCGGAACATCTAGAGAGACTTTGCCTGTTTCAGGAAGAGGAAGTGGGGAGCGACAAGATCTCGGTGCCCTCAATGCTTGTTGGAGGGAAATCCCACTGACTGTCCCAAGCGGACGTTGCTCGGCCGGAGATGCTGTCAGTGGGATGTCCGTGACTGGTTTGGAGCTCATGGAAGTGTGGAGCCCTGAGCTGCTTTTTTGGGTGTGTGATGGACTCAAAAAACACACTTCTACACATGTCTCCTTTTCGTGAGGGGTAGGCCTGGAAATCCCCAGGGGATGACTGGGGCAGCTGTCTGGAAATTAATAATTACTCAAGTAGTTAAAAGTTTATCTATCCCATACCCTGCAAACGGCTCCGGACGGCTTACAATAAATAAGTAGAATAGAACAAACGTATCAAAGTGCACCATAAATAGGAAGGAGGGTTGAAGTGACAGCTTACATTTAAACCATTGGAAGTGAGAAAGTTTTCATATGTTGGTGGGGACGGGTGAGCTTTGAAGCTCTGGAAAAATTCAGGCTCAACTCTTTGACGCACTTGCAAAGTCATGGGCAGGCAACCTCCTATCCATGGACCCAGCCCAGCCTGCAGAGGTGTGGACCTCCGTGATAAGGAACTCAGTGGTCTAACACAAACTTTGTACGCATGGGGTTCCACCTGCAACCATCTTCATTTATATTTAGAGCATCACATGTGGGTAATTGGTTGCTTTTCCGCCTGAGTCTGTAGGGCCCTGAAATTTACATTTAAAAGGTTGCAATGAATTAATTAATCTATTTTTAAACAAAGGTATAGCTCCTAGAAATATAAAGCAATCCTATGAACCTTGAGGCAGAAATAGTCCTGCAACTTTCTGAGAGTAGGCCTGTGCTCTTCATAGTTCTCTGTTGTTGTTTTTAATGCTAGAACACTTACAGTATTCCACAGGTTGTAAAATTGGCCAGAAGATGATGGTGGTGGTGGTGGTCCAGGTTTTTAAAAGGCCAGTTTTAAAAGACAGTTGTAAATGGAAATTGCGATCTTGAGCATGGTATTCTTTGAACTGTAGATATTTGGCAGTGTTTTATCATAGCTGAGGAATGGATATTTTGGGCATTTACTGCTGGGTCCTTGCTCTCTGTGCACAGAATGAGGGTTATGAAATTTGGGGCTGATGCAGTTATTCTAGGGAAGTGAAAAGGAGAAGTGTCCAGCAACGCTTGTGGAATGGCACAGCCACACTGTCAACACTGCTTGTGCCTGGCAGAGGCTGCTAAATGGCTCTTTGTGCAGGTTGTGTGGCATGTTGACATATTGTGGCAGGTCGTGCTGGCTGAAGGAAAGGAATGAAGAGAGAGAGTTTGTCAGGGCCCCAGTGGGTTGTGGCTGGGATGCTGGACTGGGACTCCAGAGGTCTGGATTCTGGTCTCCCCTTAGCCTTGAAGCTCACTGGGTGATTTTGGGCCAGTCATGGACTCTTAGCTTGGCCTACCTTGCAGGGTTGTTGTGAGGATAAAATGGGAGGAGGGGGAAGGACCTTGTAAACTTCTTTAGAAAGGGAGGATGGAAAGTTACAAATAGTGGTTATTATTTATCTTAGTGCCCTCTAGATGCCTTGGACTATGATCCCCATTATCTCCAACCAACTTGTATGGCATAAGAACGGAATAAAGATGTGGCAGCCAGGCTTTTAAAGATCTGATATGCCTTTCTGTATTTCTTAGAATGTTTTGGAGCAGTTGGACTGGATTTGGGTGACCTAGTTTTCATCTTTTCCACAAAGCTCATGGCATCACATAGGACCAGTTGTTGACTCTCCCTTGAACCTACCTCATAGGGTTGTTGTGGGGATAAAAATAGAGAGAAGCAGGACCACATGAGCTGCCTTGGAAAAGGCGATGAAAAAGCAACAGTTCATGTGCATTATTTGTCTCGTACTGTTGGGCCTGGACTGTTTGGCTTACCTTCAGTAACCAAGGATTTTTAAGGATTTAAAAAAAATTAAAAGATTTAAGAAAAATCTTCAAGAATTTCTAACCTTGCTGTCCTTCAGTTATCTTCCTGTTCGCTCACGGGGATGGCAGCAACCGAGAGCTGCTTTGGAAGTCTGTATTTGGCAGAAAAGTGAGATAAAAAATGAAACGAATCCATGTATGCCTTTGAGTGTAAAGTACAGGGTGTTGAATTTTCTCTGCCTGAAGGGAAGAGAGCTTGGCTGGATTGGGAATTGAGCAGCCGAGGTTCTGTACACCCACAGTGCAGCATCAATGCAAACACTGAGTTGTGATGGAAAAATTCTTTTTGGAAGTTTTCTATATGGAAAGTCATTGCTTTTCCTGTGGAAAACTTTCCGTTTCTAAAAATGCTCTGCTGGATGCATACTGTGGCAGTCAAACGGGAAAGGTTTCAAGCTGTATATAACTTCTTTCAGGTGACTAGAAAACATGTGTGTACATGAGCTGCTGTGAATCAATGCACAGAAGTTTTGGCATGCTAAACGTGAGCAGGCGAAGAAATGCCTTCGTAAAAGTAGACAATAGAAAGGGAAGGCCTCTTGCTTTGGATGGCTGTGTCACAAAACGTGGACGTGTTCCAATAATGGCATTTGCAAAATAGATCTTTGAATGTGTATGAATATCAGAGTTCAGCCCTATTTAATACAGCCTCCCCACTCCGCACCATCAAATATTTGAGCTCAGTTTCGTTTGGTTATGGAAATAACTTTTTTGAGGTACTGAAACTGCTGTCTGAATTTGCCAGTTCCATCCACCAATGCAAGCAAACCTGAGCTCATAAATATATTTTTACACCTTTCACCAGGGAGCCAAGATTAGCAGTGGCTCCTTGTCAAGAGAAGCTTGATGGTTCCCCAGAAAACCCAGATTCTGTTGCCCATATAAATTGTGTGCATTGAGTAAATTATCCTGTGTATATAATTTGTTGGGTTGGGCAAGCTTCCCTAGGCCATCTCACACCCCCCAATCCCAGAAAAGTTTGCCAAATATTCCAAAACCTCATTGCCGTGCCTGTTTTTGCCACCTTAAGGGCTAGAAACTTTATTTCTGTAAAGCAACATTCAGGTTCTCAAGGTTTTGGGTTTTGCATGCAGTTCTGCTGGGTTAAGAAAAGGCACTTTGCTCTGTGAATGACGTTGGGCATCTTTAGGATGGTACGGCCAACACATCTCCTAAGCTTCTGCTGGAAGTTTGTTGGCCTTGGTGAACCATTAAAAGTTGCGCATTATTTATCCCAAAGCAGGAAGCTGATCAATGTGACCAGACTGTAATTGTTCACCAAGCAGATGCGATTGTTGTGGTTGCTTTTGTGCCAGCAATTTCCCAGCGTTGCACCATGTGTTTACATATTTTTCCCAATTCGTTGTTCTGATGAGTTTCTCCCTTGAGCTGTCTCCATCTGTTTGTTCCTGCCTTTAACCATCCCAAATCTTTGCAGGACAAAGATGACAGGATGAGATGAGGGAGAAGAGCACCGGGTACGGTCTCGTTGAGGGAAGAATAAAGAATAATTGACTTTATTTTGTGTGCTTGTTTTACGGAAAGCATTTTTACACGCACTTGCCTGCCTTTGGCCTTTGGCCAAAAAAGGATCTCAGATCTCACAGCGAACAGAAATAAAGTCACTGTCCGGAGTCTTGTCCTCTGAAAGGCTCAACATGCAAGGAAAAGGGGATGAGTAGGGAGGGGGAAAAGAAAAGAAAACGTAGGCACTCCGTTCTTAGTTAAAAGTTAAAATGAACTGGATCAAGGCACAAGTAGCAGCAGCTGGAGCAGAAAGAAGGGGAGGTCTTTGCTGCAGCGGTTTGTCCTCTGAATAATTTGTGAAATTAGCAACACTTGGACAATTTGGGTCCGGGTTAGTTGAAGAATTGCCTACCCTGCATGGCCCTTACAGCCATTCCCAGGGGCCTACTTACTTTCCTGCCTGCAAAATCAGTAAAGAGGCAGGGCTTTCACAGGGGTGGCCCCTAAACTATTAAATTCCCTGCTAAGAGAGAGATGTCTGTTTTCATTAGTGGTTGCTTTTAAAGGGCTTTAAAAAGCATGCCTTTTCTGTCTGGCTTTTAGCTGAAAAGGTTTTATACTACTGAACAAATGTAGAATTTTACCGTTCTGTAAAACACTTCTATCTCCAGGAAGCAGCTAAGAAATGCATTCTTTAAATAGATAAGGTACAAGCCCCATAATTTCTTTCCAACTCAACTAATGGTTCATTTTGCAGATTCTCATGGGCTGCACCTAGTAATTAATTGAGTCATTGCATCAGCTTTTTCTCCGTCTTGGTCCTTTCCAAATCTGTTGGCTTTCAACTGCCTCTCTGACCAGAAAGCATGGGAGCTGTAGTCCGTAAAATAGGGAAGGCAACAGGCTGGCAAAGGCCGAGTTATCCTGCATGTTATTGTGGAATCATTGAAAGTTGAGCAGATGCACGGAAGCCACAGTGAGATGTTGTTCTGTACAAAATCTTCATTCCAAGATGTTGTAATTGGATTTCCCAGCCTAACAGTTTCTCCCATCTTGAGTGTTATTTATTTATTTATTTATTTATTTCTATGCCGTCCATTACTTAAAAAAAAGTCTCCGGACAGCTTACAAGGAAGGAGTTTTACCTAAATGGAAGCCCATGGAATTTGCTTTTAGTTCTCATATTTCAGAGAAAATATGACCTCATGTTAGGCATGCAAGAATTGCTGCTGTCTTTTGTTTGGGTGATTTTCAAATGGTATTTTCTACACTTAAAGAACAGGAGGAAGTGGTTTATCAATAGTGTTCATTGTGATGGTGAAGTTGAGTCTCTGTGTTTGAAGTGTGTCTGGCCATGGTTGGAAACAGCCATCTTTGTATGTCCATAAACCTTCTGTAATTATGCTAGTTTTATTGAAACGTGTGTGTGTATGCACAAAATATAATATACATTATATAATATATAAAAATATAAGCACAACATATTCCTTCAGATGCCGCTTTAGGCAAAATGGAACAACTTCTCTCCCTGTCAGTTCTCTTTCCTGAATGCAGAAAGATAAGTTCTTGACTGTTGAATGATCAGCAGAAAACACTCTGTCCATGCTCAGAGGCACTCCTGTTTCTGTGGGAATGGGAGGGGGAAAGACCTGGCATAAAACAACAACACAAATCCAAGGGTTTCATCTTGCCAGTAACTGCATCATTGTCGGCATCGGGTGAGCCTAAAAACTAGAATGTTGCATTTTCATGTGACCCTTAAAATCCCAAAGTGGCTGTGCCATCTTTCCATGACGTTCCGCTCTTGGCATCGCTCTCTGGACCCAGATGATGCTCACATGCTCTGCTGCTCCCTTGCCACAAGCGGACACGGGCAGAGGCAGGACGGGATTGCGGAGAGCAAACCATCGAAAGGAAAGGGCTAGTCTGTGGGAAAAGTCCCTTGCCCGACGGTTTGCAAGCTGCTTTTGCGATGCCCTGTGGGGGACTGATTTCAGCGACGAAGGAAGACTCAGGGTTTGCGGAGAGAGCTGTTTATGCCCCAGGCCTTGTCCCTCTGGCAAGTTTCATATTTTCAAAAGCAGAAATGCAACGCCAGCTGTCCTTCTGTTTGTTTGTTTGTTTGTTTGTTTGGCAGAAACCAGGACGGTACCAGCACCTTCAGCACCATGGCCAAACGGACCTCTTGTCTTCTAAGTGTCCCTTGCTTAACGAGGATAACTTGGGAATTGTACGAGTTCATATGCCAAACTCGGCCAATGTTTTCCTTCTGCTTTTCTCTGGCAACATTTGAATACAAGGCGGGTGTGTTGCCGCGGTCTCTGCGCTGAGGATGGGCTGGGTCCTCCTGGGATTGCATTCCCAATCGATCAGTGGAGCATGCCTTAGTCATGGTATCCTGGCCTATCCTACCTCGCAGGGCTGTTGTGAGGTTAAAAAAGCAATAGCTTCTGAGTGTCTTCAGAGGAGAATGGGATAAGTAAAAATCTTGATAGATAAAAGTGGTGGCTTTTCCTGCTTTCTGTATTTTTGAAAAGTTCACCATGTAGGAAGCTGCTCTGTGGTCCCTCTAGCTCTGTATGGCCGGTGTAGTGAGAGAGTTGGACCAGGAATCTGGGGGATCCAGGTTCTAATCCCCCCTTGGCCACGGAGCCCACTGGAACCTACCCAGTTGACTCAATGGCTGAGCGGGGACTCGAACCCGGATCCCCTGAGCCCCAGTTCCTGCTCTTAACCATCACATTTGCAACATGCGATGAACTTCTAATCAAGTCTCAAATGTTTCTCGCTGCCAGTTGCTTACAACAGTTTTGCAATATGTGTCCAGGCCTGTGTTTTACATCCGCATTTTTGTACGCATATGGTTTCTATAATGTTTTTTGAAGGTTTTAATTTTGCATTCTGCCCAAAGAGCTGCAGCTGTGGAGCAGTATAAAAATGCCATAAATTAAATGCCATGTTTAGACAGGAAAATTGTCCTCCAAATTCCAGCATTCCTAAGACATGTAAGAATACCAGAACAAAAATAAGAAACTGTGGACTTGGGAAGAGCAGCTCCAAATATGTCAAAATAGGAGTAGGTCTTGTGATTCACAAAGGGGACAGCTCCTGGAATGATCGCAGCTCGGGAAGCGCACCAGGTGTAAAGTGGTGCTTGAGGCTGCTATGGACTAGGAACGCTGGAGCAGAGCTTAGATAGTACGTCTTTTGGCCGCCGGACATGGACTCTGGCCTTGGAGGGACCCGGCTGGGACAGCCTTCTCTCCACGCAGTGACTCGCTTGTGACAAGCACCCAGACGGCCTTTTCCCTGGTCACAACTCTTCTGGCGTAATCCTGCTTTGCCAGTTCTGCTGCCTCTGAGCAGCCTCTCAGGTCTTGAAAGCGTGGCTAGCATTTGGCATCTGCAGCCGGCAGGGCCTCCAATAAGGCCAGCCCCAAATCCACAGAAGTTTGTGCGAGCCCTTGAGCTCCCTCTGTGCACTTCAAGGCTCTTCTCTGTGTAAGAACCAGAGCATGGCAGAGGAATGGAAAACTTGGAAGCCTTGGATTGTAGCACACATTCCGGAACGGAGATGCAATGGTTGACCCTCGTTTCTGGGAACATAATGGGAGGCTTTAGCTCAGAGCAGCTTCTTGCCCAGGGAAAAGCACACCGGCTCCTCAGTTCTCCCTTCCTGGATGCCAGATGCAAAAGACTCTCGTCCGTGTTTTGTAGGAAGTGGCTTCGATGCTGCTGTGACTTGATTCCCTTTGGCTCTCCCACCGTGCAACCCCCTATCCATGCCCAGCTGCCCTGCAAAGAAATGGAACTCATAGGATTCCTCCTATTTATAGCCACCCGTAAACGTAACCATTTCACAGCCCCAGTGGGGTGTGTAGGAACCTGCCTCGTATCAGCTCAGATGCTGCTTTGGCGGGTCCCCTTCTGCGTTTGCACCTGCTTTCCTTTTGATCTGGAGTTGCCCAGGCCTGAGCGTGTTTTATCTGTGAGTTCTGCCCACGAGCGCCAGTGGCCACTCGCTCTCATTAATCCGTTATGGCATGTTGATTGGCCGTGAAGAGGACACGGGGCAGACGGCAGGGAGTGGTCATGCGCTCACCTCCGGGCGAGCCGGCTCTTTCCCACTTGGTGCCAGTTTAGGTTACCACATGGGCTGTTAATCTTTCTGTCCTGTTTGCCATAGCAGATCATTGATTTCTGTGTACGCGCTTCTTAAATCCTCGTTTGGACGGAAGCGCTGTCTGTAGATCTTTAAAGCAAATCAATAAACATTTTCCTTGCCATTGGCAACTGGAGGAATGCACCCGTCTCGCCTGTAAAATAAAGTGCATGCATGGACCATCATTCAAAAGGAAAGTACGGATTTCTGGCCGGCGTGTCAGTTTTTCACTGTGCCTTTCTGTCTCCTCTCTTTCTTGCAGACAGCTCTGGGCAGGAAAAGCTGCTTAATGTTGTGCTTGATACCCTCGAAGGGAAGGATCCGGGCCATCCGCAAACACCATGTTGGCTTCAGGTGTGCCCAGGGCAGTCGGAGGTGAGCTTGGCCTGAAGTAGCTCTGACGCACGAGCCAGGATGACGAAAGCGCGCCTCTTCCGCCTTTCGGTGGTGGTGGGGTCCATCTTCATGATCCTGTTGATCATTGTGTATTGGGACAATGTTGGAACGGCTCACTTCTATCTGCACACCACGCTGTCCAGGCCGCACAGGGTGTTCCCCACCGTCATCCCAGGGGACGGCCAAAGTGCTCTGCTGGACGTGGATGACTTCTTGAAGACGTTCCTGAATTCTGACCCCAGGAAGAACGTCGATCTCAGCCGGAAGACCGAGCAGCCGCCCGTGCATGCCTCCAGCCGTCCCGCCGCTGGCAACTTGGAAGAGAACGTCCGTGGCTACGATTGGTCTACTCGGGATGCCAGCCTGATCCTGGACCAAGAGAAGTTGCAAGCAGAGCGGCGGAGGACCCTGCAGGAGCTGTGCTCCAACTCCAGCTTTACTTTCCCGACCAAGGAACGGTCGTTTGACGACATCCCCAACTACGAACTCAACCACCTCATTGTGGACGACCGCCATGGCGTCATCTACTGTTACGTCCCCAAAGTGGCCTGCACGAACTGGAAGCGGGTGATGATTGTCCTGAGCGAGAGCCTGATGGACCAGGGGGTCCCGTATGTTGACCCCCTGGACATCCCCCGGGAGCACGTCCATAACACCAGCACCCACTTCACCTTCAACAAGTTCTGGCGCCGGTACGGCAAGTTCTCCCGCCACCTCATGAAGATCAAGCTGAAGAAGTACACCAAGTTCCTCTTTGTCCGCGACCCCTTTGTCCGGCTCATCTCGGCCTTCCGCAGCAAATTCGAGCTGCAGAACGACGAGTTCTACCGCCGGTTCGCCATCCCGATGCTGAAGCTGTACGGCAACCACAGCAGCCTCCCGACGTCGGTGAGCGAGGCCTTTGGGGCCGGCCTCAAAGTCTCCTTCCCAGACTTCATCCAGTACTTGCTGGATCCCCGGACAGAGAAGCTGGCCCCTTTCAATGAGCACTGGAGGCAGGTGTACCGCCTCTGCCACCCGTGCCAGATCGATTATGACTTTATCGGCAAGCTGGAGAGCTTGGATGAGGATGCGGCTCACCTGCTGCAGATGCTCAAGGTGGACCACCTTCTCCGGTTCCCTCCCAGCTATCGGAACAGGACAGCCAGCAGCTGGGAGGAAGACTGGTTTGCCAACATCCCCGTGGCTTGGCGACAGCAGCTGTACAAGCTCTACGAAGCCGACTTTGTGCTCTTCGGATATCCCAAGCCGGAAAGCCTACTTAAAAACTGAATCCGACGGAGCTGGGTGACAGAGAGCGTTCAAAATACCCAAAGATCCCTCTTCCCTGGCCCCCGATAAGAGCATCCCGTTTGCTCCTGTGGACACACTTCCAACTGACATTCTCCAAATGTACCTTTTTCTACTGCGTTTTACATGCCTGCTTGGATGCCAAATCCCTCAAATCTCCTGATGAAGGGGTTCCCCCCTTCATTTTAAGTCTGTTTTCTTCCATTGAAGCGCAGCCCTTGTTCTGCTTTTAGGAGACCGGTTTTCTGTTCCACCACCAAGTGTATTCCTTTGGATGCTTTTATTAGGGCATTTTCTTAAAAAAAAGGGAAAAAGGCAAAAAACAAAACAAATATGGAAAGAAAAGAAAGAATTAATATATTAAAATATTTAATACAAACCGTGTTGTGGAAGGAGGAGAGTACAGCAGGAGCTTGTTTCTTCCATGCAGACCTGTTTTGGTTATATTTGGGGTATCATGGGCTAGGGGCGCTGGGTCTGACACCTGTGACCTGAGCCATTACATCCAGATCCTGCAAATGACCTCCCCCCCCCACACACACACACCTGGGGGGCTCTGCACTTTTGCACAGGATTTCTCTTCCCAAACAAAAGGGCTGAAAAACCTTTCCCAAGAGGCTTGGTCACTGGCAGGAGAAACATTAAGCTAAAGTGTGCTGGCAGGTTTGGCCCCGCCCCTTCAGCCTTGGCCCCACCCACCATCGACTGCGGCCCCCGGGCTTGAAGAGGTTCAGCACCTCCAGTGGTTCCATGTCCTGAGTTCTTACTCTGACTTGGATCTTCTAGACAAAGCTTTTATCCCACTCGCCCCTTGCCTGGGCACCGGGACCGGCTCTCGGCGCCTTTTCCCCTCCTGATTTCTGCACTGCTTCCTTCATATTTTTTCTTACTGCACAAAATCCACGAAGGGAAAAAGGGTGGGATCGCTCCGTGACCCCTGTGGATCAATAGACCTAGGAGCTCCTGAAACAGACGGTTGCGTTTCCCCAGAGTTTCAATTGCTTGCCCCCTGCAGAATTTACAGCGGGGGTGGGCAAGCTTGAAGGGTGCATGGGCCACTTCCTCTTATAGATGCTGGAAAAAACGAGCCTTAAATGGCGACCAGGTGTCCACCGGTTTCCTTGCTCGGCTTGGTCAGCCGTTTGCGTCACATGCCCAGCATGGAGAAATCCCCCCCCGCCCGGGAATTTTTTAACTGAATTTAGGAGGCAGTGCAGGATGGTGTGGACAGCATGTGGCTGATGGGTCATGGTTTCCCACCCAGTTTACAGGCTCTCATACCCCTTTATACAGCCATATGCCTTCCAGAGTTCCAAGCCCCTTGGCAACACACACACACACACACACACACACACACACACACACACACACACATAATATCTGTTGTATATACAATACTTTGTTTTGAGACATGGTGACCAGAGCTGCATACATCACTCTGAATTCGACCAAGGCTGCTACCATACTAAACATTTATTTTCAGTCTTTTCCTTTTGAATTTTCACAGGAGTATCAGGCCAAGGGGTTTTGCACAACCAGTGTAAACATCTGGCTGGCCATGGCTTGAGTGCATGCGTGGCACCTGCCGTGTCGACCTCGCTGGTTCAGGGGCGGCGTTCACACGCACCGGCTGCTGCTCTGTGCCCACATGGCATGTGAGCGACTCATGTGCTCCCTGCTTTTAAGCAAACACGGCATGGTTATGTGGCCTCAGATCAGGGGTCCTCAAAGTACGGCCCGTGGGCCGCACACGACCCACCATGGTTATTTTCCCAGCCCTCCTCAGGAGAAAAGGGAGAAAAAAGGTAAGAGTCTTGTAGAAGAACACCCCCCCCTTCTCAAGTAAATAACCCCTCACAGTTTCTCTTTCCTCCCACCTGGGTTTGGCCTGATAGATTACCTTAAACAGTGGCCTTCATGCAACCATAATTTCTTTAAAAATGCATTGTTTTTGTACACCGTTCTGCGTGCAATTAAAACATTTGCTGGGCAGGGGCACTCCGCAGGGGCTGCTTGTGGCTGCCTGCACAGGGATTGCAAGAACGGGCTGGACTCGGTTCGTGTGACTTCCAGGATGGAAGGAGGAAAAAAGCCGCCCCAGAGAACTTGCAGGGCGAGGGATACCTGTGGGAGGATGTGGGGCCTGATGATCTGCTGGGCACCCTGGGGGCATGGTGCTATATAAGCCACCCGTGAGCTCGCTGTGCAGTGTGGTTTATGTAGTGCGAAGCTTCTCGGGGATGAAAACCAAAGCACTGGGGGCAGAAAAGCCAGTAAGGGAGTAAAAACAGCATTGAGTGCAAGAGATCTGCTTAAATAGCAAAGACCCGCTTGACTACAGTGTTCTTTGCAGAAGGAGAGGTGGGAAGGAGCAAACCTAGTTTAACTCAGCACAGGGAGGGAGCGGCCACCAAGCAGGCCCCGCTCTTTGTTGCCACCAGACTTGCCTCTGAGGGTGATGGCCCTGAAAGAGGGACTCTCCCAAAGATCTTAGGAGATGGGCCACCTCATATGGAAGAAGGTGATCTTTCAGGAAGTCTGACTCCACATCATACACGAGTGTTAATGCATTCTTTCAGAGTGAGTTCCTCGAAAGGCAGGATTGCATTTCAGGAACTTATTAACGGTGCCCTTTTTAAAATACAAGTTCTCACAAGATTTCTGAAAGAGCAGCCTCTCAGAAGGTGGTGATGGAAAAGGCCCTACTCAGAAGACCTGAGTGTCTTCTCCCGAGATGGCATATGGAGCAGGGCCCTATCGAAATATCTGGGGGGCTGCAGGGCACCCCCACATGTGAACTCGCGCTTTCAAAGTAAGTGCCGCCTTCCCCAACCTGGCCCAGTCCGGAGGTGCCGGATGTCTCCCCCAGGAGCCAGAGCGAGAGCAAGTCACAGGAGAAAGCTGCTCCCATACACAGTGATGGCAAAGGCACGTCTACCCCACTCAAGATGGGACTTGTTCTGAGTTCAAAACCGGATATGGAACCCTCTGCCAAGCCCCCCCCCCCCTTTCTAGCCTCCCCCTGATGCACTGCTGCTCAGCCCAGGCACTCTGTTCTTCTGCAGCAGCCAAAACCTGGAACTTGTGCATCATCCCCAGGAAAAATGCAAGCAACAACTAGACCTTGTGAGCATCCAGCACTTGAAAGCAGATGCACAAGGGCCCGCTTGTCCGAAGGACCCACTTTTGAACGCGCTGGGGGTTCCCACCAGAGGGGCCATTTGCAAAATAAAAATAAAGGCAAGCTAAGCTGGCAGTGGAAACAGTGAGGTAAAAAAAAAGCTGGGAGGAAAAAACCTTTCCTTTGAAAAATGAGTCAGTAACTCGACTTCGGGCAGAGGTATTTGGCCGTTGGGGAGAAAAGGAGACGTTGGCTTTGTGCAACACGCTGATGTTGCTAATCGCTTGCAACGCAGAGGGGCCAGCCTTCCAGCGAGGCACATTTTTTTCTAACGCAGAGGAAAAAAAGAACCTGTTGTGGGTGGAAGAGGAAAAAGTCTGGGCATTGCAGTGCTTGATAAGGGATTGGACGCTGGTTGTGTTTCATGTTCCTCATTTTAACATCACCGTTCTACGGTAGTGCTTTGCAGAGGCAAACAGGAAAAAAGAAGCAGGTCTCTGCCCCAGGCAGCTTACAATATAGCTCTCCATAGCTGGGGAGGCAAGGTTCTCATGGAGTGAATGCAAGCTGATGCAGCTGCCTGCCTTTGGATTCATTTCATTCGGTGCATGCCTTTTCTTCAGACGTTTCAGAGATCTCAGGCGAAAGCTGGAGGGCTAGGTCGTCTTCCTACAGCCGGAGGCCTGCAACCCTGAGAGGGGAATTTCTGAGTTTTGCTGCTTCTCCCCAGAGAGCATCCCTCATCTCTCCTGCTCTGCCCCTGAGATCTGAGAGCATCTTCTTGTGGAGGAGTGAGGGCAGGGCCTGGCTGGAGTGGGCCCTGAGCAGCACCTCCTTTCGTGGGTCCCCTCCCACGCCTTTGGGTCCCCAGCCACCCTGCCCTCTGTCTGGTGCCCATGATGGGTAGCTGCAAGCTGCCATTTTTCACCTCCCACAGTGCCCCTGAGGTGCTGCTGCTTGGCATTGTGGGAAATTAAAATGGCAGCTTGCTGATCCGGTCACCTGATGCTTTTCCATGCGGACAATATCCAGAACTGGTCCTGAGTGGGATGCCTTCTGCAGTAGCACGTCATCTGAGCTTTAAGGCATCTTTGGCCCATGAGCTCAGAGCCAGACCGCTTGCAGCAGGCTATGCACCGCCAAAGATCAGGGGGAGCATATTTGCATGCAATTTCCACCTGTTAATTTGGATGTTAATTTAGCCTTTGAAGTATCTTAAGCAGAAATGCCGTGCATCTCACCCTTAGTGCGTGACCAGCTCACTCCTGGGCCAGGTGTTAATGGAAGACGGGGACCAGTTCTGGATCTTTAAAAGGGAACTGGACAGGACAGATTGCAAGCAGAGGAGACTCATCTGTAGATCCTACATTATTATGTAGGTATTACATTTCGATAGCACCCCACAGCTGACGCCCTTGCTGGGCCAGGGCAAAGTAAACGCAAGACGCCACCCCAGTTGGTTTAAATATCCGTCAAGGTGTTGTGCTGAAGGCCGAGTGGCCATTTAGGCACTTGGACTGGAAAATCATTCCCTTGAAGCCAGGATCACCCATCAGACTGTCCTACTTCCGCCACGTCACGAGAGCTGGCGCACTGGAAAAGCCAGTCATGCCATGGCGAAAAGGAGAAGGGGTGCCCCAGCCCCCGGGGGCCGGACACCATAAAGAGAGACCCTGGGATGGACGTGGAGGTCTTGAAGGAAGCACTGAGAGACAGAGCGAGCGGCTTGGAGGGTGATGGGCCATGGTGGCCAAGGGTCAACTGAATGGTTAACCTCCCTGAGGACAAGTGGAAAGTTTCTCCTGCCCCCCAAGCAATAAAATACAATGGCTTAAGTATTAACCATTGGTGTCCTATCTGGGAATCTAAAATAAGTCAGCAGATGCTTTATCTGCGTAATTGAGACAAAGCCCCTGCCAGGCAAAGCAGAAAGCCCTCAAACTAAACTTCAAGTCATCAAAGACGTTTATGACAAACCATGGATCGAATTATCGGTTCAGATACAGTTGAGCCTATCATGCAGTGGAATGATTTTTAAATGCGTGCTGAGCACCTGACCCAGCCAGGAAAATAACGGCTGGACCCCGCCAGGCTGTATCAGAAATATGAATGCTGCATGCATGCCAAAAGCATGCTCAGAAGCCAGGAAAACAGGATGGGGAGGTCCTGGCTGAAGCAAGGCCATTTCTGCAGAGGCCGAGGGAGGGAGAGGCCGAGGCCCTGTGTTTGGAGAGGGCAGGGTGTGGAAGATAATCTCT